CAAGGATTTGCTTTTGAAAACTTCTAAATGTTCTTATCATAAATTTTTTGAAATCCGTATCTTGCATTTCTTCTATCTCATCATCTTCATACTCTTGGCTTGGGGTGTTTTGCTTATTTGGAGGCATCATAGTGTCATCGTTGATCTTGCTCCCTCTATTTCTGTGTTTGTTACTCGGCATAGTTAATTCTTCTTGCGTCACTGTGCTTTTTTTTTTTTTTTTTATACTGTGTCCGTGTTAAGTGGACTGCCTGCTGTTGGAGGAGCCTTGGAGGCTTGAGATGGGTGCGGCCTGAGAGCTCTGCCTGGTTCTTCCTGGTTAAGGGTGTGCAAAGGTGACACCCTCAGGTTATGCGTGGTAAATCTCTTTCTTTTTATTTATTTATTTATTTTATTTATTCAGGGGGTAAGTAACACCGCAGGGCAGGGCTGTGCAGCATTGATGGTATTTAGCTTCCAGTCTTTGGCTCCTCTGGACTCCCACTGGGTTGCCTAGGCTACTGAATTGTAGTGACTCAGTTCCTTAACTCTCCCCCATTGATATGTAAATCCAAAGAGGAGGCCTGCTCTTTGTCTCTTGGGGATTCTTCAAGCAGCCTTGTAACCTTTGCAAGGTTAGGGGGGAAGAGAAACCCCGAAGCTTTTTTTTTTCCTTTTTTCCGGTAGTGAGTTTGCTGCACTTTCTGGCCCCCCTCTAGATTCTGACCCCCGTTTCCCCACCAATGTCTCGGGTTATTGAGCTCACCTCCCCTTCCAGCGCCGATGTGTGGACTCGGAGCCCTGAGCGTCCCAGTCTCCCCGCTGTTGTCTGTGTGGCATGCACTCCCCTTGGAGCACTGTCGCGTAGACCCTGGGGCTTCTGCGGCTGGGTCCCGCAACTTGGCTTCCGCGCGTGGGCGACCTTGTTCTCCCAGTAGGTCCTCCAATTCACGCCTGCTCCATCCAGAAGGGTTTCCCCTGCAATTTTTTGGTTCTATTTTCTGCTGCTACCGTAACTCCCCTTTTATTAAACTAAATTTTCCCGGACTATCGGTGCGCGCCCTCACTATTCCGCCATCTTGGCCTGCAGAGCCAACAGTATCTAACTTAAATAATGAAGGAAAACATCCTAAAACATCTTTTGTTTGTGTGAATTAATTACAGTACCTTAAATTAGCATTCTCCATCCCAAAGGCTATTAAAAGTTTGAAAGGGAGATAAACTCCATGAGGTTGGTAGATTTTCTGTTCTACATTCTTCATGTACTTGGGGCTGGTGATGTGGTGCAGAGGTTAATCCTCTGCCTGTGGTGCCAGCATCCAGTATGAGTACTGGTTCTAGTCCCGGCTGCCCCTCTTCCAGTCCAGTTCTCTGCTATGGCCTGGGAAAGCAGTGGAAGATGGCCCAAGTGCTTGGGCCCCTGCACCTGCATGGGAGACCAGGAAGAAGCAGCTGGCTTCTGGCTTTAGACCCATGTAGCTCTGGCCATTGCAGCCATCTGGGGAGTGAACCAATGGAAGGAAGACCTTTCTCTCTGTCTCTCACTCTCCCTCTGTCTGTAATTCTACCTCTCAAATAAATAAATAAAATCTTAAAAAATATATTCTTTAAATATTCATATTAATTACAACCTCTTATTTTAGAAAAATGAGGGTTAATGGTTTATGACTTCTGCTAGTCTGTGATTGTTACAAAGTAAAACTTCTAGTCAAGGTATGAATTTGTAAATTCCTTATTGGCAATCAAATTATTATAACAAAAATTGTCATACTGAGTTAATAGTCTTTAAATAAATACAAATTAGGAGAATATTTAGCAACTTAAAAACACCTGGCGGCTGGCGCCACGGCTCACTAGATAATCCTCCACCTTGCGGCGCTGGCACACTGGGTTCTAGTCCCAGTTGGGGCATCGGATTCTGTCCCAGTTCCCCTCTTCCAGGCCAGCTCTCTGCTGTGGCTTGGGAGTGCACTGGAGGATGGCCCAAGTGCTTGGGCCCTGCACCCCATGGGAGACCAGGAGAAGCACCTGGCTCCTGCCATCAGATCACCACGGTGCGCCAGCCGCTGCATGCCAGCTGCGGCGGCCATTGGATGGTGAACCAATGGCAAAAGGAAGACCTTTCTCTCTGTCTCTGTCTCTCACTCACTGCCCACTCTGCCTGTCCAAAAAAAAAAAAAAAAAAAAAAAAAAAACACCTGGCTATCAAAATTATTCAGATGCAGACAAGATAAGACTCCTTGTGGGGTAACCACATGCTGAATATCTGGTTTTTTATTTACATGTCACTGTCACAGGCTGAACAGCAACAGAACACAGTATAAGAATGATGAGCGCTCCTCTAATTCTAGAGACATATGTGCCCTGTCAGGACTTCATTGGCCTAACTCATCAAAAGACTCAGGAATAAATGTTTCTGTTTTCAAGAGAATTGTGGGGCTGGTGCCATGGCACAGTAGGTTAATCTTCCACCTGTGGCACTGGCATCGCCTATGGGCACTGGTTCTAGTCCCAACTACTCCTCTTTCACTACAGCTCTCTGCTATGGCCTGGGAAAGCAGTAAAATGTGGCCCAAGTGCTTGGGCCCCTGCACCCATGGGCAACTAGGAAGAAGCACCTGGCTCCTGGCATTGGATCAAGCAGCTCTGGCTGTTGTGGCCATTTGGGGAGTGAACCAGTGGATGGAAGACCTTTCTCTCTGTCTCTACCTCTCACTGTCTGTAACTCTGCCTCTCAAAGAAATAAATAAAATCCTTCAAAAAGTCTGTTAAAGTGAATTACAACCACCATTGTATGTTTTCTTTCACAACTTCAAGTGGACATAGCTCATAAAATAAAATAAATCATAGGCTGAGGCCATGGCTCACTTGGCTAATCCTTCACTTGTGGCACCAGCACCCCAGGTTCTAGTCCCAATTGGGGTGCTGGGTACTAGTCCCATTTGCTCCTCTTCCTGGGCCCAGGAGGGCAGTGGAGGGTGGCCCAAGTGCTTGGTTCTCTGCACCTGCACAGGATAACTGGAGGAAGTACTTGACTCTGGGCTTTGGATCGGCAGAGCACTGGCCATAGTGGCCATTAGGGGAGTGAACCAACGGAAGGAAGACCTTTCTCTCTCTCTCTCTCACTGTCTATAACTCTGTCAAATATAAATAAATAAACAAATAAACAAATAAATAAATAAATCATTGTTTCATAAACACTAAAGCTTAGACAATTGGTACCAATGAATAGCTTCTTTCATAGTCTCTCTTTATAAATAATTAATAAACCAATTTTCTTCCTACTCTGCAAAGCCAGTCAACGTAATTGATTTCAAATTTAGAGTTTCCAAATCACCCAGAAATGCACAATGTTAATGCTTTTGCAGCATTATAAGAGTATAAAATAATAGCAATTTTTAATTCTTGCAATTTTTAACATTAGAGAGTTCTAAGACATTAAATGGCATTTTCTTCTAACCCATGTAAGACTAACAATATGCAGAAAAGCATGAGGATTTTTGTTATGCAGATAAATAATTGTGCTTTGCCTAGAATCATGCTTCAACTGTGGTTATTTTTCCTCTCCACTGAAGCCAGGAAGAAGAGAGTCTTGTGAAACTAATGAAATGCCCCTGGTGTTCTTAAATGATTACTTTTTGGCAGGAACTTCCAAGGAACAACACCACAGTCATAGTGAACTTCTATGGTTGGAATCTTCTCTTTGCTTCCAGGAGACCAAGAGAAGCCACCTGGAGATCTCAGGGGAAGGCCACATGGGAATGGAGAGTCATTCATCTCCTCTGGAAGCAGTTGTGTCTGTGAAATTTTTTGCTCATAGTAAATTTGACAGGTCTCTATCCATTGATAAAGAAGAGACTCATCATAAAAATTAGTAATACATAAAAAAAATCATTGAAATCTCATTATTTTCTGCCACAGGCAAGTGGAACAACATCTCTCACAGTAAAACAGACTGTAAAGAGTCTATCCAATATCTCTGGCTCTCCTCACATTCTAAGGACAGACCTCGGAGAACTTCCAGCTGCCTCTTCCAGAAAGGTAAATCAATAAATAAATTGTTAATAAAAAGAAAAAGGAAGTAACTTTTTTTCTGTATTTCTGGATAGGATTTCTGTCTTTGAATCAATATCTCATGATTTTTATTCATTTTTCCTTCTTTGGAATTGGAGTAGGAGTAGGCAAAAACATGCATGAAAGAAGGGGGAAAAAAGCTTAAAGTACTAGATTGTAAAGTAGGAACAAATGGACAGGAAGGCTGGAGGTGAAGGGGTAAAGACTAGGTTAGGGAAAAAAGCCAGCTTATTAAATCCTTAAAAAGAGAAAGGAAGAAAGGAGGGGGAAATAGAGAAGTATGGTTATGTTCTTCTGGAATTACCATCTTATGCAATCTGTTCTCTTTGTATTAATAAAAATAAAAATGTTTAACAACTGAAAGTTCATTCCTTTATTGCATCACTACTGCCTCATTCCAACACTCTATGAAAGCAGAATCCAAAGGCAGGCATGGGTTGCAGGGCGGAAGTGACAGTGCTAGCTCTATTTCTCTAATGTCAACCTCTGCACCCCAATTTCTGATCCAGCAAAGTTCTATACAGTACCCAGAATCAGCTTCATAAAATAAACCACTTAGGGCAAAAGCTCAGAAAAAATCAATGTCCCCATTATTCTTTGCCTATGAAGCACTCATAAAAATTAGCATGTTGCTAAAGAAAATGAGATTGTGGCCCAGCTATGTATAAAGAATGTAGGGATGCAAAGTCAGGAGGCAGTTTGGTGTTTTATGAGCACCCAAAGTGAACTGCAGATGATGGAAGGGGATGCATTACAGAATGGGAGCTGAGTAGGCAGCCCAGCCAGTAGTGACCACCAAGCCTTTAACCTGACATTTGTGAGTATTTGTGAAGTGTACAAATGAGTTCTACCTATAACAACAGTAATTACTTTTGCCTTAGGACACAAGGCAAAGCACACTTTTTTCCATTTTTTATCTGTTTTTCATTTTATTTGAAAGGTAGAGGGAGATGGAGAGGGAGAGAGATTTCTTCCATTTTCTGGTACACACCCAAATGCTCACAACAGCAGGCAATGTTCAGCCTGAAGCCAGGATCCCAGAACTCCATGCAGGCCTGGGTGAGTTCAGTTGATTCTGAGGACACACAGTCTTCAGTGACACCTGTCTTTATAAAGACACATCTCAATACAAAATAAAACTCCCTACTCAGGACTCTTGAGATCCAAGAGAAAACTCAAATATTTTCCAGATGAGTGCAAAACAGTAATCTGGAGCCAACAAGTTCCCTGCCTACCTGAGAATCAGCCTGGTCACCAGGGAGATCTAGGGAAGAGGACCAAGCAAAGCCACTTGGGACCTGTGCCCAGAGTCTTATCTCTTGAGTGAGCATAAAGGCAGCATTGGGCACTGGCAGTTTTGGACCACCTTAATCCTGAAGTGGCTACACAAACTAGTCAACTCCAATTTGGGCTGAGTTATCAGACTGGCAGTCTGGCCAATGATTGTCACCCATTAAGGAGTCTGGACACAGCAATGGCCAAAAAAGAACCATCAGGAGATACGCACAATAGCAGTCAGAGTACTAAGTGGGTAATAAATGCACAGATCTCAGACCAAGGCAACAGGCAATGCCAACCTTCTCTTTTGTTGCAAAGTTTTCTTATTTTATCTTAAAGGCCTTGAGAAACAGATCTGTAGACATCTCATGTGTAAGACAAACATGCATCATTCCTAATTGGCCTATAAATATTAGCATTCTTGGCCTGATCAATCAGCCTCAGGAACTAGCTCAGGGAGGGGCAAGTAAAGGGAATCACTTCTATCTCATTTCTAGGGAAGTACACTTCCTCCATGAACTGCTTCTTACAAAATATTTCTCCAATTTTCCAGGAGAAATACATCAACTCTGAAGAGGCTACTTTTTTTTCCATAGAGCCCAACACCTGTCTTGGGAATCACCTGTGATGCCAGGTAGATGGATAAGAAAGCCAATTGGAATCATCTACTAGAAGACAAGATACTTTACCCAAATCACTATATTTTACTCTACAGAAAAATGCAAACTGAATCACAAAGAACTCCAGTTGATCAATCCCCTGGTTTAAGCAAAGGGCATATTTGCATTACTCCAGATATGCAGGCCTCTCTTTCTGCTGTACCTTCATGTGGACTATCTGCATAGGGATACAGAGTGAGGGGGAGGCTGCAGCAGTAAAAATGGTCAATGTGTCAATTATGAAACTGATTTTTAATTATCTCAAATTCAGTCATAAAAATTCTGCTCTAAGCAAGACACACATAAAGCCAAGCGCATCCCTTTCTCAACAAAAATTTAATGCTAACTGCATATTTAGGAGTGTACTATTGCATTTAATTCCAGTACTTCTCTACATCTTATTTTTTAAGATTTCTTTATTTGAGAGGTCGAATTACAGACAGTGAGAGGAAGAGACAGAGATAAAAGTCTTCCATCTGCTGGTTCATTCCCCAAATGACTATAACAGATGGAGCTGCACTGATCTGAAACCAGGAGCCAGGAGCTTCTTCTCTGTTCCTCCTTGGGTACAGGGGCCTAAGCACTTGAGCCATCTTCTACTACTTTCCCATGTCATAGCAGAGCTGGATCAGAAGAGGAGAATCTGGGACTAGAATGGTGCCCATATAGGATGCCAGTGCCACAGGCAGAGGATTAAACTACAAAGCCACAGTACCAGCCCCTCTACATCTTATAAGCGCATCTTATCTGTAAGAAGAAAACTGAAGAGAGTCCAATATATCACAATTATGTTAGAAATTATCTCTAATTTAAGCCAGCGCCGTGGCTCACTAGGCTAATCCTCCGCCTTGCGGCACCGGCACACCGGGTTCTAGTCCTGGTCGGGGCACCAGATTCTGTCCCGGTTGCCCCTCTTCCAGGCCAGCTCTCTGCTATGGCCAGGGAGTGCAGTGGAGGATGGCCCAGGTGCTCGGGCCCTGCACCCCATGGGAGACCAGGAAAAAGCACCTGGCTCCTGGCTCCTGCCATCGGATCAGCGCGGTGTGCCGGCTGCAGCGGCGGCCATTGGAGGGTGAACCAACGGCAAAGGAAGACCTCTCTCTCTCTGTCTCTCTCTCTCACTGTCCACTCTGCCTGTCAAAAAAAAAAAAAAAGAAATTATCTCTAATTTAAAAAAAAAAAAAAAAAAGGAAAACCCTATAATAGAAACCTGCACAAATGACCTGTGTCCTATTACTTTATCCTTTGGAATACTTCTCAAGATTTCTTCTGGCCTTCCCATCTTCCCTTGTTCCTCATACCCTTTCAACATCACTGCCTCTCTGTCCCTGCAGTTCTCTCCCTTTGGAAGCAGTCTTGTGGACTGTCAATCATTATTTCAAAATGTATTGTAGGAAGGGCCTGAATGGCCTTCTAATGTCCCTTAAATATTTCCATAAAACAGATGATAGAGGGGCTGGTACTGTGTCCCAGCAGGGAAAGCTGCTGCCTGCACTGCTGGCATCCCATGTGGGCACTGCTTTGAGTCTCGGCTGCTCCATTTCTGATCCAGCTCTCTTCTAAGGTCTGGGGAAGCAGTAGAAGATGACCCAAGACCTTGGGCCCCTGCACCCATGTGGGATAACTGGAAGAGGCTCCCAGCTCTTGGCTTCAGTTCAGGGTAGCTCCAGCCATTGTAGCCATCTGGGAGTAAACCAGAAGATGGAAGGCCTTTCTCCCTCTCTCTCTCTCTCTGCCTCTGCTTATCTCTAACTCTCTTTCAAATAATAATAATAAAATAAAACAGACAGTAGAGCATAGTGGGAAAGCTGTTGCCTGTGATGCTGGTATTCCATGTTGTGCACGAGTTCATGTCCCAGCTGCTCTACTTCTGATCCAGCTCTCTCATGTGCCTAGGAAAGCTACAAAGTTTGCTGCCTATGCTCCTACTCCCACATGGGAAATGTGGAAGATGATACTGGCTCCTGACTTTAATCCAGTTTCAACCCCAGGTGCTGTGGCCATTAGGGGTGTGAAACAGTGGATAAATGATTTACATCTCTCTTTCTCTCTTTGTAACTCTGCCTTTCAAATAAATGAGTATTTTAATTTTTTAAAAAATTTAACAAATGGCCCTAAATATTCTGACTCATCTTGACATGTAACAAGAGCCAAGAAGTCACTGCTGACTTTATGTAGTGCCTCTCAATCCATTCTATAATAAAAAAAAAACATGTATTTCTTTTGCTCTCCAAGCACTCAAATCCAAAAGAAATAATACTACCCAGTACCGCTCTCTTTAAGGCTGCTCTTGCACTGAAGAAAAGTAAAGGAGCAAGGGGACCCAAACCCTGTGTGGCAGGCTGGCAGTCCCCTCCTCACTCTGCATCTGAGTTTCTGGTTAGAGATGGAGACAAGGCAACTCCAGATGCTGCAGTGGTCCACAAACAGCCTCAATCACAGACATGCCTTGTGTGTGTGCAACAGAAGGAGAGCACAGAGCACTATGTAGGGAGGAATACAATGAACAAAAGGAAAGGATGTGAATGGACATAGCAAAGAATTTCCCCACTCTGCTGATCATGATCTCGAGGATGTCCAGGCCAGAATTCCATTTCACTTTGGAAAACCCACTCCTTGAAGTTTTCTCCTCCTAGGTGTATTCTTCTGTGAGGGACTCTGTCCTCCTGTGAGAGAGGGCACCACCACAAATTGAAAACCAGTCAAAAAGCAGAGTGATGGCTTTATTCTCAGAGGTGAATGGACAACCACATCTATGAATTCTGCATTAAAAAATAAGCTTCCTTCTGCTCTAGAGTCTATATAGGTTTGGGCTAAAATGAGAAACACAGAGACCAGCTGGGTCTGTTAGGTGAGAAGAAAGGAAGCTTGATTTCCAGTTTGTTACTTGTAGCATGTTAGTTTTGAGAGGATTTCATTTTCCACTTCTACTTGAAGAAATGGAAAGGTAGAATCAGTGCCAGCCTAACACACAGCAGCTTTAGCCACTGATGACATCACAGCTTGCTCCCCAAAAGTGGCAGCCAAATAAACTCAACAAATGAGAACCAAAATAAAACAGAAGAGTCTACCATAATACCAACAGTTGTTCAGCAGATATTACCCAGATCTTGACACACAAGTCACCAGGATAAAGGGTAGGGCTGGCTTTGTGGCACAGTGGATTAAACCACCACCAAATAAAATGCTGGGATCCAATATGTGTGTCCAGCCTTTAAAAAAGATTTATTTATTTAAAGTCAGAGTTTTGGGGGCCAGTGCTGTGGCACAGCTGGTTGAGACACTGGCCTGCATCCCATATGGTCCCTGGTTCAGGTCTTGGCTGCTCCACTTCCAATCCAGCTGCCTGCTAATGTGCTTGGGAAAGTGCACAGTATGGCCCAAGTCCTTGGTCCCCTATATCCACATGGGAGATCCAGAAGAAGCTACTGGCTCCTGGTTTCAGATCAGCTCAGATCTGGTCACTGTGGCCATTTGGGGAGTGAACCAGCAGACTAAAGACCTCTCTATCTGTCTCTATCTCTATCAGTAACTCTGTCAAATAAATAAAATACATCTTAAAAAAATGTAAGAGTTATGGAGAGGAGGGAGAGTCAGATGGGATGCCGTTGTGACTAGCAGGTAAAGCTGCTGCCTGCAGTGCTGGCATCTGGTATAGGCACCAGTTCATGTCCTGGCTGCTCACTTCTGATCCAGTTCTCTGCTAGTGGCCCTGGAAAAGTAGAAGATGGCCCAATACCTGGGTCCTTGACACGCAAGTGGGAGACCTGGATGAAGCTCTTGGTGCCTGGCTTGGGCCTGGTCCAGTCTTGGCCATTGCAGCCATCTAGGAAGTAGACCAGCAGATGGAAATCTCTTTCTCATTCTCTCCCTTTCTCTATCTCTGCCTTGTAAATAAATAATAAATGCTAAAAAAAGAGAGAGATCTTCCATCTGAGATGGCTGCCATGGCCAGGGCTGAAGCACACAGGAAACCAGGAGCCAGGCACTTCATCTGGGTCTCCCCACATGGGTTACAATGGCCCCAACACTTGAGTCATCTGCCTGCTGCTTTTCTCAGACCATCAGCAGGGAGCTAGGTTAGAAGTGGAGCAACTGGGACATGCACTACTGTTCATCTGGGAAGCTAGCATTGCAGATGGTCGCTTTCCCCCACTGTGCCACAATGCCAGCCCCATGAGTGCCAGTTTGAGTCACAGCTGTTCCACTTCTGATCCAACTCCCTGTAATGCAATAGGGAAGCAGAACAGATGGCACAAGTACTTGGGTCCTGCACCAATGTGGGACATGGGTTGCGACTTCCAGGCTGGGACAGCATTATTCATTGCAGTCTCTTGAGTGAACCAGCAGATGCAAGATCCCCATCCTTCTGTCTCTGCCTCTTTCTCTGTAACTCTGCTTTAAAATAAAATTTTAAATCTTAATAAAATAGAGAGGTGAGAGAGTAGCCACAGTAATAGCAACAGAGCAAAGCTACAGTTGTGCTGTCCCTCAGCAGCCTTCTGCCTTAAGTGGGAAGTCTCCAGCTTACAGACACTGACATAAAAGACACATTCACAACACATTCCAAAACAAGAGATGAGAGGTTTACAAGGCATATTGATTTTATGATGACTTTCATTCATTAGGTACACTGGGTTTAGATATATGCCTTTTGTGCAGCCAAGTTAACCAGGGTCTAATTCAAAGAGACGTAATGAGGAAGATGTGCTGCCAGGGGAGAGAGCTGCAGTATCCCACTGCTCTTGTAACATCATAAAGAGAAGGAAAAGAAACGGCGCCATGGCTCACTAGGCTAATCCTCCGCCTTGCGGCACCGGCACACTGGGTTCTAGTCCTGGTCGGGTGCCGGATTCTGTCCCAGTTGCCCCTCTTCCAGGCCAGCCCTCTGCTGTGGCCCAGGAGTGCAGTGGAGGATGGCCCAAGTGCTTGGGCCCTGCACCCCATGGGAGACCAGGAGAAGCACCTGGCTCCTGCCTTTGGATCAGCATGGTGTGCCAGCCACGGTGGCCACTGGAGGGTGAAGCAACAGCAAAGGAAGACCTTTCTCTCTGTCTCTTTCTCACTGTCCCCTCTGCCTGTTTAAAAGAAAAAAGAGAGAGAGAGAGAGAGAGAGAGAGAGAAGGAAAAGGGCTACTTATGTCCATGCTTATAAGGAGGACAGAAGCACAAACATTTCAGAAAGGGGGAGCAAATTACAAATATAGTAATTTTAGGAAAATAAAAGGAAGTAAATTTCAGAATATATGTGGGGTAGAAACACACCATCAGCTCAACAATTCTCACAGGGATCCAGGAAAACTGCCCTGCCTACCCACAGACCAAATGTTTCAAAACACATTTTTTGATTAAATTCAGGAGATTACGGGACTCAGCACTCTGGGTGTTCAAATGCCAAATTAAGTTTTAGTTTCCACTACGGGCAGATGTAGCCAATCACTCAGATCATGAGAAAAACTTTTCCATAAGAAGGAACATGAAATATTCAGTCACACAGAATAACTGTGCTTAGTGCTCAAAGTGAACCCCAGGATAAGCACCCAGAAAACCTGTTAGGTCTTGGGGCCAGCACAGTGGTTGTAGCATGTAAATATTTATTTATTTATTTAAAAGGCAGAGTTACAGAGAGGCAGAGGCACAGAGAGAGGTCTTTCATGCACTGATTCACTCCCCAAATGGCTGCAATGGCCAGAGCTGGATCTATCTGAAGCCAGGAGCCAGAAGCTTCTGTCAGATCTCCCATGCGGTGCAGAACCCAAGAACTTGGGCCATCTTCCACTGCTTTCCCAGGCCATGGCAGGAAGCTGGATCTCAAACAAGCACCCATATGGGATGCCAGCACTGTAGGTGCAGCCTCACCTGCCATGCCACAGTGCCAGTCCTCAAAATAAACCTATTTTAAAAAGCATTTTAAATGAGGGATGGGAGAGAGTTTGTTTATCCAAAGCAAGGATAACATAAGATAACTACTACACAGAAGAAGCTCCTGGCTCCTGGCTTTGGATCGGCACAGCTCCAAACACTGTAGCCAATTGGGGAGTGAACCAGCAGATGGAAGACTTCTCTCTCTCTGCCTCTCCTTCTCTCTGTGTGTAACTCTGACTTTCAAGTAAAATAAATAAATCTTTAAAAAAAATAACTACTAGTACTCATTAACTTCAAAAATATAGAAATTTAATGAAACTCAAAATATAACCAAAATCATCATCTACTACACATTATAATCTTTATTTTGAGAGTCATATTAGAAAAAAATTAACCCCTCCCCCATTGAAAAAATGCACATGGGACTGGTATAGTAAGTTCAGCAGGCCCTGGCAGTGCCAGCACCCCACATGGGCACTGGTTCAAGACCTGGCTGCTCCATTTCCAATATAGCTCCCTACTAATTCACCTGGGAAAGCAGAGGATGATGGCCCAAGTGTTTGGGCCCCTGAAATCAAGTGTGAGAACCAGAAGAAGCTCCTAGCTCCTGGGTTCACCTGGCCCAGCCCAAGTCATTGTGGCCATTTGAGGAGTGAACCAAGGGATGGAAGACCTCTCTGTGTCTCTCTGTAAATCTGCCTTTCAAGTAAATAAAATGCATTAAAAAAACCCCTATATAATGTAGTATTTTGGTGATTCCCTCATACAAGGAAAGCTCAGATAAACTGTAGAGGAATCCTCCTGGCTTCATGCAATTCAGAAGGAGGATTGCTTCTGTCACCCTGTGGTAGACATCAATGAGAGTTATTAATGGGAAGATGAATGGACACATCAGACTGCTTCCTCACATGGCACCTTTTCTTAAAGACATCACTGCTGCATTACCAGATTATGTCTCTCATGTGAAATATGTCTCTCCTAAAAATTTTAAAGAACTTGCCAGAAACTTATTGCAGAGCAGGGAATGATGTGCCAAGGACAGTGAGTTAGCCTGAGTAGTCCAGGAATCCTGTTCTTGGCTGTTTTCAAGTTCGTATTAATGTACACACAACATAGTTGCTGAGAAAGTGTCTTACAGTTGTTTCCTGGGTGTGAAGCAGCTCTTCTCAGCAGAAACACATCACTGCTTGCCCACTCACAAGCACTGTGATAGGGAGTACATGGGGAGAAAAGGTCAAAACACACTGGGTTTGAGAGGAAGAATGCTGTCACCCTAGCAACCTCTATCCAGGATTCCCTTTCTATTCTTACCTCCTAGGTAACCTTACTATGCTAAATGAGTTTCACAGATTAGTAATCTGGTGACAACAGGACTCTAACAGAGTCTATGAATCACTCAGTTAATCAAGTGAAAACTTCATTACACTGAAAGTTAGTCTATAGCAATAGTTTTCAGGGTCACATCTCTCTTTTTTTAAAAGATGTTTATTTGAGAGGTAGAATTACAGATAGTGAGATGGATAGACAGACAGAAAGGTCTTCCTTCTGCTGGTTCACTCCCCAGTTGGTCAAAATGGCCAGAAGAGCTGCACTGATCTAAAGCCAGGAGCCAGGAGCTTCTTCTGGGTCTCCCACATGGGTGCAGAGGCCCAAGCACTTGGGCCATCTTCTACTGCCTTCCCAGGCCATAGCAGAGAGCTGGATCAGAGGAGCAGCTGGGACTCGAACTGGTTCCTATATGGGATGCTGGCACCACAGGCAGAGGATTAACCTACTGAGCCACAGTGCCAGCCCAAAGCCACATCTTTTACCGTACTGTGTGGGCATCTCTGTGGGGGAGAGGGGCACATTTTCTCTTTGCTTCCTTACCCTCTTCACATTAACACCTTGTACAAAGGCTTCCACAGACCAGTCATTTTGAAAATCTATCACTAATATCCTCCCATGTTGAAATGTCATGGGGTTAAACTCAGAACCCAGAATAAGAAAAGTAACTTGAAGCTGGTGTTGTGGCTGAGCGGGTAAAACCATATGGGTGCTGGTTCAAGACCTGGCTGCTCCACTTCTGATCCAGCTCTCTGCTATGGCCTGGGAAAGCAGTGGAAGATGGCCCAAGTGCTTGGTCCCCTGTACCTGTGTGGGAGACCTGGAAGAAGGTTCTGGCCTCTGGCTTCAGATCCATGCAGTTCTCGCCATTGTGACCATCTGGGGAGTGAACCAGCAGATGGGAGCTCTCTCTCTCTCTCTCTCTCTCTCTGTGTGTGTGTCTTTGCCTCTCTAACTCTGCCTTTAAAATAAATAAATAATTTTTTTTTAAAAGTAACTGGCCGGCACCGTGGCTCACTTGGTTAATCCTCTGCCTGCAGTGCCGGCATCCCATATGCACACCGGATTCTGTCCCATTTGCTCCTCTTCCAGTCCAGTTCTCTACTGTGGCCCAAGTGCTTCGGCCCCTGCACCTACGTGGGAGACCAGGAGGAAGCACCTGGCTCCTGGCTTCAGATCAACACAGCGCGCCAGCCATAGTGGCCATTTGGGGGGTGACCACCAGAAGGAAGACCTTCCTCTCTAACTCTGCCTGTCAAATTAAAAAAAAAAAAAGTAACTGGCCCCCTTAATTAAAACCATATGGACTGTAAGATAATCAGCTTGGTGGAGCATTGAGTGACTGTAAAGAACTAGACAAGAAAAACTGATACTTTTCTGTATTTATGTTTTCATAGCTCTCCACTATGAAAATCCAGATTGAAGTAGCTCATTATTAACTCACACGGTAGACTTGCATTAATTTCAGTTCACTTCTCACTTTGCAAAGGGATTAGCAGCAGGTAATAAAAGTTGACATCCCTAATAACATGAGAAGAAAGAAGGGTTGAAGACAGAAATTGAAACGCAGGAAAATAAATCAGTTACATTTCCATGGCCTCAAGCTCCAGATTGAAAAAGAGTCTGTTAATTAAACACGGAGGAGCGATCAATCCACAAAGCTACTGCACAAGCTTCACGTGCTGCTGGGAAAGTCAGGCAAACACATAGCGCCCCAGCTGAAAATGTGTCCGCGGGGTCCAGCATGGGGGCCAGGAGCCAGAGCCTACTCTGATCTTCCATCTCCACCTCTCCACTGCCTCAGGCTCCTGGCTCAGGGCCACCGAGCCCCTGCCCAGCTGGAACTACCAGGGGATATAGCCCGAGGCCAGCCACAAGGCATTCTCTGATCCACCCAAAGTGAGAACTGGGCTTATTTAAATCTAGGGAATGGGACTCCTTCCTTCAGTGTGCTCTCAACTGCCCTGCTGGTGCTGTTCCTCATCCAGTGTACTTTAAGGAGAATTTGAGCGAGGCAGCCCATGGGACCGGCCGTGCATCGGGAGACTGGGAAGCGGTGGTGGGAGACACAACACCTGGGCCCCAGACTTGACTCTGCCAGAGAAGCTCCCAGCATCACTGAGAAGCAAGTGATCGAGGTCTGGGAGCCGCCACCCGCCATCGCACCCTCCCCTCTCCCACACACATCTGTGCCCCTCCTGTTCTCCATACTTGCTGTGGAAAATCTCGGGAGCACGTCCCCTTCCTTCAGGACACACGGGGAGCAAAGCGGAGAGTGTGGGACAGGAGAAGTCGCTGGAACTTGGGGCCCACGGTGGCAGATGCAGAGGCACAGAAGCAGCGGGCGGTAGGTCTGGGGTGTGTGCTCCCGAACCGCCTGCAATTGCACTTGCACAGCAAGTCTCCCCAGTGAATGTGGGAGAAGGAGCAGCGCGGCCTCTCAGGGACCTCTCTGATCAGTAAAAGAACTTCTGTTCCCAGCCCCGAGCCACAGGGAAAGGCACGCATGCGCACGTTCTCCCACATGCACACGCACAGGCGTTCAGAGCAGGAAATGTTAGAGCACCGGGTGACTCTGGGAAATGGAGTCCAGGCCAGGGCATTCCTAGATAGACTTACTGGCCCTCTCCTAGGGCTTCAGTGCGGGGTGGGTGGAGACAGGCTGGGAACCAGAGAGCGTTTGCTTTTGTTTACATCCCTCCTTCCCTTCCTTCCCACCCCAGATCTCAAGGGTCAGATGCTGTTCTTCCTTTCTTGAACAAAATCTTAAGAAGTGACAGCCACTGCTGCTGAGTCCCAAATCCCGGTTCCCTCACACACGCTGTTTCCCTCAGGAAAATCCCCTGCTGCTTTATTCCTGGACAGCTTCTCTCAAGTAACCCATGACAAGGATTTCAATGTAACTCTCAGCACAGGTGTACACGGCACAGTTTTAACATCTAGATTTGAGAATACAATTTTTACTTCTGTCTTTTATTTGTGGTTCTTTTCAAAGCATTTTACACCACCCTCTAATTCACCAAGTACAAAAAAAAAAAAAAAGGAAGAAAAAAAGAGAACTGGATACAGGACTAACATTGCCAAGTATCTTCTAGAGTCCAGATTAACAGAGTAAATGCCTTACTTTGTATCAATTATACCTTGGGTTAATTCTGGAGACCATATTCTCAATTTACAAAGAGAAAGCTGAGGTGGAAAGAGATTAGAATTGAATTTGCCCATGGAAGTATGGTAAAAAAAAAAAAAAAAAAGTCTAGCTTAAAGGCCAACCAACATGAAATATTGGTTTAAGAAGTCTTTCGGGACCAGCACTGTGGCATAGTGGGCTAAGCCTCCGCCTTCAGCACCGACATTCTATACAGGGGCTAGTTCAAGTCCCTGCTGCTCCGCTTCCAATACAGCTTTCTGCTGTAGCCTGGGAAAGAAGCAGAAGATGGCCCGAATGCCTGGGACCCTGCATCCACATCAGAGACCCAGAATTTCCTGGCTCCTGGCTTTGGATCAGCTTAACTATGGCTATTGCAGCCATTTGGGGAGTGAACCAGTGCATGGAAGACTTCTCTCTCTCTCTCTCTCTCTCTCTCTCTCTCTCTCTCCCTCTGCCTCTCTGTAACTCTGCCTTTCAAATAAAAAAAATCTTCTTTTAAAAAAAGAAATATTTCTTTTATCTTGGAGCTCAGTTTCTAAAACCCCAGATTTCTCATCTCTAAAATAAAAAGTGAGGGAGAGGAAGAGTATCTACAATCCTAATCTTCACTGTAGAGAAACACATAGGATTATAACTTATCTGAAAAAGGAGGTTCAAAATTGCTATTGCTGTATGGTTATTTTTCTCATGCTTAATATCAAGATAGCATATAAATATTATGCATTCTTAGGTATATTTGTGGTGTTTGATTTTTAAGATTTTAAGTAGAAATGTAAATGGAAGCAGGATGACATGGAGTTCTGTTTGTGATTACTTCTGTCAATTATAATTCATGGGATTAGAATTGCTGGATTAGGAATGCTTAAATGTATCCATTCATTTCACACTAATGTTTATTATGTCAGGTGATATTCTTTGTGTAGACTGCTTTTTCTTGCCAGATTGAAAATTCAGGAGGGCAAGAAACATGTTTGCTTTGACATTGAAACTCAGCATCTTGATAGAGTCATTCTTTTAGTTGAATGAATAAATGAGGCTATAAAAATTAAACAAATACAATTTCTGTTCCCCAATAACTACCTAGTTGAAGAGATAATGAAATAGATATCTATTTGATAACACACACAATTAGATGAATGTATAATTTGTTGCTCAGAGACAACTTTGATAATAAAAGAGACATATTAATAATGACACAGGGTTGAAATGCATAAACAGAAACCATCCAGGGCCAAGCAGGTTAAATGTTCACCCTAGCTTTGTAAGGCATTCCATTCATTATTTAGTAAGCATTTACTGAGCATTCTTTTGTGTGGTGTGTTGAAAGAACTACCAGCCACATGATTTTCCTAGTTATTGGAGTAAGAGAACCTGAGCAATCAGAAAAATGTTTGGATGAACTAAGAGGCTTTACACAAAGGTAAGAAAAACAAAAAGCAGAGAGGTCAATTAAAAAGTATATCAAAGGTAATTTAGTAGGACCTGAACCAAGGTATGCTGGTAGTGGGAATGAAGAAGAGGCAACAGATTACAGGGAGATCCAAAAGGCAGAAACAATAGGATTTCAATGGTAGACGAAAGCAGGAGGGAACTCGTGTGTAAATCTTCATTTGGATTTTATTATTTAATGGACAAGGAGTTCTCAGTACATTCATGTTCATCAGTAATAAAAGGCTACCTCCAACTGACTTATAAACGTCCCCTAAATCCAGCACACAATCTCATGGGTAGCTA